CCAGGGGCCACCTGTATCTACTAGAAAATGTGACAGATGTGGCTGGTGTTATATTTCAATCGAAAGTGCTGTCCTAAAGTGTCTGGAATGAGGGCCATCTTCGCTGGGGTCAGAGAGACATCACAGGTGTGGTGGTACAGTCCAGGTTCGGAATACCCGGAGCCCACATTAAACATCTCTGCATGCTAGCTGAGGTCAGGCGGGGCACCCTCAAGTTCTGAGCTCCTATTTCATCCTCGCCACCTTCACTATGGGATGATGTCATCAGGTGATATTTGCCAAAGGCCTCATGGCAGGTTAGGCTGGGTCCAGGCAAGAGCCCTGGTAAGCAGTGAAGAATAGCAAAACGGAACCCTAAAATCAATAGGATGAGTTGAATTCTAGTTCCTTCTACCACTAGCCCTGCATCTAATTTTGGGCAAATGACTCCGCATACTGGGCCTCAGCATCCCCATCTGTAAAGTGAGGACCTGGACTTCAAGGATTGTGTGGGTTCCTTGAGCTTTAGCATTCTTTGGCTAATGCCCAGGTAATTCCTGGAGAGATGTTAGGACCTTGCTAAGCCAAGTGGTTAGGCAGGAAAGGGCACTTGGCCCCATATAGAAATTTCCACTCACTCCGCTGGATTTATATTGGACATTGTAACAGAAATCATGGGAAAAATGGAACTTGAAAAAAAATGTGGGGGATCCCCTGGCTATAGGGGAAAGTGGAGTAGACACTTAGGACTGGCTTCCTTGTTTATTTACTTATTTATTTTCTCACATATCGAATTAATCGTTGTCTAGGAATACATATACAGCTGTCAATTTAAGGATGATGTCTGGGTATCTGCAACTTTTGGACCAACTATAGTAAAACTGCGAAACAAAGACTCCAACAAAACCCCTTCAGATTGCTTCCTTGTCTCTTACCACCGCCATTCCTTCTCCTGGTTGGCTCCTCCTTGGTGCCTGGACCCTTTATGGTGTTTTTCCGGCTTCTGGACGCAGTGGGCCTGGCATACGGTGCTCCTTTAAAGTTTTATTTCTCACACATTAAATAACTCAAAGTTTCAAAGGCATTGCTCAGGGACAAAGTAAAATCTTTAGACAAGAATCACCTTTTTTCTTCTCCGTAGCTCCTCCCTCCCCAATGAAAGGCACCAGGGCTCCTGTTGGGATTCCTACTCCCATGCCTTTTGCTGTAACCCGCCCACTAACCTCTGGCTCCCTACAGCTACAAGCCCACCTGCCCGTTCAAATCCAGCCCAAGCCCTGGGACTAACTCACAGCTGCTGACTTAAAACTCAAGCCCTTAGGGCAGTGGTTGGCAAACCAAGGCTCCCGAGCCACAGGCGGCTCTTTGGCCCCTTGAGTGTGGCTCTTCCACAAGATACCACGTACCCTAATTAATAACAATGTACCTACGTATATAGTTTAAGTTAAAAAAAAATTTGGCTCTCAAAAGAAATTTCAGTCGCTGTCCTGTTGCTATTTGGCTCTGCTGACTAATGAGTTTGCAGACCTCTGCCTGAGGGGACGCCTTGGCCATGGGGGATGGAGAATGGGAGGGGGGAGTGGGAGGGAGGGAAGTGGCAGGGAAGATTGAGAGGGAAAGAAAATGTGGCCAAGGGTGCTCGCTCCTCTAGCCAGCAGAGAGGGGTGGGGTGGGGTGGGGGAAGGTAAGAAAAGTAAAGTTAAAAGCAGCATCTCCTGTCTCCCCAGCCCCGTTTTCCTTGGCGCGGGGCACGGCCAGCCTCTCAGAGACTTGCTTCAAAGGGAGGCGGTGCGGGTGGGAAAGGAATCTGCCTCCTTCAGTTTTCCATGATCTGGTTCAGCCCAGACACAAGTTTGGCCACGAAACCCAACTCTGGCACTGGACTTCAGCATGGCATTTGGACTGGGTGTGGAGTGCAAGCTAGGGCGATGGAGGCCAAACCCCTAAAAGAAGCAAAGGCTTAATTCATTTTTATTGAGTTTTTTTTCTCTTTTTCCTCCAGAAGCATATTTCCTTATTTCTCAATGACGGCACTGAAACCCAGAGTCAGCTTCTTCCCGCGCCCCAGTGTAAGTCTCCCTGGCACAGAGGAGGTCCCCCAGACCAGGCAGAGGTGCGTGCACCCCCCCCCCCCCCTCCACCCACAGAGCCACAGACAGAGCCACAGGGCCCTGCAAACAGTGCCAGCAAAGCCCGGCCTTCCTCCACTCCATCCACTCACCGATGTTACTGAGCTCGCGCCCCCCCCCCCCAACAAATAGCTCGTCTCCCGCCTCCCTCCCGCCGCGGACACTCTGCCTTGTGTCTCTATATGTGTCTTTGCCCCTCGATTGGACGAAATAAGATGCAGGGACCCGCGGGCTCCCAGCCCTGGCTCTGGGGCCCACTCCCTCCCGGTTGCACAGCAACGTGCCCAGCAAACACTGGTTCTCAGCGGCCCGCCCCCCCCCCCCTCCTGCCTTCCGCCCTCCCTCCTCCTCCTCCCAGGAGCTCTGGCCGCCGGCCAGCTCGCCCTCCTCAGCTCCCCATTTCTAATTCAAAGACGCCTTCTTTGGGAGGGATTGAAAAAAGGTATAGATCTGTCTCTCCATAGGCATCTGTGTTTTTGGTGTGTGTGTGTGTGTGTGTGTGTGTGTGTGTGTGGTGTGTGAGAGAGAGTGTGTGTATGTGTGTGTTTGTATGTGTGCATATGTTGTGTGTGTGTGGTGGGTTGAACTCTGTGTGTGTGTGTGTCTGTGTGTGGTGGGTTGAACTCTGTGTGTGTATGTGTGTGTGTGGTGAGTTGAACTGTGTGTGTGCATGTGTGTGTGAGAGTGTGTGTGTATGTGTGCGTGTGTGTGAGAATGTGTGTGAGTGTGAGTGTGTGTGAGAATGTGTGAGTGTGTCTGAGTGTGTGTGTGTGTGAGTGTGTGTGAGTGTGTGTGTGTGTGTGTGTGTGTGTGTGGCGGGTTGAACTGGAAAGTTGGATGCTCCTGTTTGCTCTCTCAGCAGTTGCGTGCCTGCACCTCCCACATCACTGCACCAGCACGGCTGGACACATGGAAGCAGGGCAGAGCGGGGCTGAGTGGCACCTGGCACACTCTCCATGTTCGCCAGGCTGTTAAGCAGAGCCTCCCCGCCACGCCAGGAAACAGATTCCTGTCTCTCACCCGTCTCTCCTCCACCCCAAGCATTTAAAAAATCTATATCCCCCGGGGATGGCCGCCTTTTAAACACGGTTCTTAATAAAAATAACTCCACACACTGGCCCGCGGGCGTCCGGTCTGCCCGTTGCCTCTGTCTCTTTTCTGCAGGCAGCAGTGGGAGCGAGACGCCTCTGGCAGGGCGGCGGCCTGTAGGGCAGAGCCTGCGGGGAGTTGAGGAAAGGGATGTGTGTGAGTGTGTGTGTGTGTGTGTGTGTAGGCTGGGAGATGTAGGCTGAACCTGGAAAACTCCCTGCCTCTTCCCCAGCACCTACGCTCTGCTCTCCTACGTGACAGTGTCTGTGCTGTGCAGTTTAAGAAAACTCGTGCTGGGTGCTCCCGGGGGAAGGGGAGAGGAAAGGAGAAGTGCACAGTCCCAGGAAGTAACGACGCAGAATGAGCATTGTTTAGCCAAATCTCAACCCCTTTTGGAGAGAATCAATAAGCAGTGTGACGTCTCAGAATGCAGGTTTTTGTGTACAGCTCATGAAAATAGTTTTTAAAAACTTAAGATCAGGTAGCTCTTTTCATAAAGAAACTCCGATCTCAAGGGAGCAGAACTGTCCTCATTAAACAAGTAGCTTAGTCAGCCTTTTAGATCCTGGACTGGGAGGGGGGGGAAGAACTTGGGGGCAGGGCAGTGCGGGGGCGGGGCTCCTGGGAGGCGGAGGGGAGCAGCGGGGCGGGGCCGCCCCAGTCTCCGCCCCCTTCATTTGGCATTCAGAGATCCCAGGGCCCCTCTCATATTCACACCACACCCACTTGGGATCCAGTCTGAGGGATGGGGCGGAGGGGACTGGGCCTGGCAGGGAAGTTAGGAGTTCTGTCTCACATCCCCTCTTGCCTCCCAGCTCCACCTTTCGTCCCAGGTAAATCGGGGCCAGAAAAAGTAACTGGATTTCGGGGCGAACATCCAGCACCGGAACATCACCCCGTTGCTTCTTGCTCCTCCCCCCGCCCCCCCCAGTCCCACCCCACTCCCCGCCGCTAGCCCTCTGACCTCCTGCCCCCGCCGTGCGCGCCCACAGTAAGCTTACCTTTCCTGGGAGGAAAAACGGTATTTTACATCTTAACCTATTTACCAGCGATCGCGATCAATCACTGCGAGTCCAAAGTCCTGGGTGTGCACTTGGGAGGGGCATCCCAGTCCTCACCCCAAAGGCATGAACTACACACGGTGCCAGTGTGTGCGCGCGTGTGTGTGCGTGTGTGTGCGTGTGTGTGTGTGTCTGTGTGTGTGTGTGTGTCTCGGGGCTGCAGGATAGACACGTCCAAAGGGGCTGGCAGGGGGGCATGGGCTGAGGGAAGGACAAAGGTAGAGTGAGCCCAGGACGCCTCTCTTCCCAGGTCCTCCGTGAAGGCACTATGTTAACAAAGAGATTTTTTCCCCCAAGTTCAGAAAAAAGCCCCAGAACGTGTGGGGTGGCTAGCAGGTGGCGGAGGAGGGAGTTGGCAGTGAAATACATATACCCGCTCAGCCTGGAGACTCAGCACCTGGGGGTTTGGACCTTGGGACGTGAGGGGAGCTCAGAGTCAGGGTTCCGGCGAGGGGGTGGGGTGTGGGGAGCAGGGTGTGGGGAGCAGGCTGGGGGCAGAGTGTGGAGCCAGAGCGAAGACCGCCTGGGGCTGGGATGGACGGCAGCCTGGGGTCGCTGGATCAGCCAGGGCTCCGATTCCTAGGTGCAGGCCCCCTTCGACCCCCCCCTCTCCCCCCGGGCTGCGCCCCGGCTCTGAGCCACTCTCTGGGCACAGCGCGCGGCCGGCCGGTCCCCCGCCCCCGGCCCCGGCCCCGGCCCCCGCTCGTGCACCGGTGTCTGGCCGGCACCCCGAGGCGCTCACCGGCCCGGACTTGCTCGCGGTAGGTCTTTTCGTTCATGCAGACGCCGCGGCCGTGCAGCAGCGCGTGCAGCGGCTTCTCCTCGTCCTGGCGCGGCAGGCAGCGCAGGCCCTGCGCGCAGCGCTCCGTGTACACGCCGCACGCCTGCGCCTCGGCCAGCGCGCACGTCATGCAGCAGCCGCAGCCCGGCTCCTTGACCAGCTCGCAGCCCAGCGGGCTGGGCGGGCACATGGACAGCGCCTTCTCGTCGCACGGCTCGCAGTGCACCAGGGAGCCCAGGCCCCGGGCCGGCCCAGCGAGGGCCAGCAGCAGGAGCACCGCGGGGAGCATCATCTTCAGCCTCCCTTCGCCTCGGGCGGGGCGGAGAGCGAGGGCGCGGGCAGAGAGGGGCTGGGAGGAGGAAACCTAAAAAACCCTGGCAGGTAGAGCAGGTGCCCTCCCCCAGACAATGGCAAAATGTGGAGAGAGGGAGAAGGTCGGGGTGCCGGCACGCAAGTCCCAGTCACAGGGACTAGAGACCTGCAACAGGTTGGGGGCGAGAGAGCGGCGCCAGGTGCACGCACCGGCCCAGCGGCTCCAGAGCCCGACTGCAGGGGGAAAAGCCAAAAACTGTTCGCCCCGGAGCAGCCGCCGAAGCAAAGAGCTCGGAGGCTGCGGGGGAGACGGGGTGGGGTGGAGAAAAAGAGGTTCGTCTTCAAAAAATGTGGTTTAAAACCTAAAGCGCACCCCGCTCCTTCTAGCCTTCAGCGGAGAAGGTGGCGGTTGCAGCCGCAAGGGCAGGGGAAAATATTGAAATCGAGAAAAAAAAAAAAAAAAGAAAAAAAGAAAGGAAAAGAAAGAGAAAAAAAAACCCTTAACCCCTCTTTTCTCCCTATTTTGCAACCACCTCTTCGAAATTCGCAGCCTGGGCGCGAATCCCGGAGACGGGTGCAAGCGGAGGAGTGGGGACGGAGAAGGAGCAAAAAGGAGGAGAAAGCCCGCACCGCCGGGCAGCTTTCCCCAGCTCTTCACCCCGCAGAAGTTTCCACAGAGACTCCGGCTCCGGGGGAGCGGGCGCTTTTAAACGCGCGGCCCTGGCTGCCAGCCAGCTCGTAGCTGCAATTTGAGCTCCCAGCACCCAGCCCGGCGAGGACGCCGGAGAGCCGTGCGGGCGGGCTCACACGGGGTGGGGGTGGGGGTGGGGACGGCCTTCCAGACACACAGGGGCTCCCTTCCCTGCACGCACAGCACCCTCCCCTCCCTCCTCCCCCGAATGTGAGAAAGGGGCGCTGGGACCAGGCAGGGGCTGTGGGAGGGAGGAGTGGGGGGGGGGTCGTGGGGATGAGAGTTCTTTTGTGCAAGGTGGACACAATGAAGAGTCACTCCGTCTCCCGTCCCCTCCCGCCTCTTAAGGAGCCGAGGCCAGGCCCGAGGAGAAATTTTTTTAATTTTTTAAATTAGCCAACTGGATATACATGGTGCCCAAGAAGTTCTTCCCCAGCTTTGGTAAATGGCTGCCTGCTAGTGTCTAAGTTTGCTGGTGTCTAAGTTACCATGTAAGGTGTGTGCGTGTGTGTGCATGAGTGTGTGTGGTGTCTGTGTGCTGGGGCTATTAATATAGGATGGCCAGTGACGGGTGGTGACCTGAATTAAAAAGAAAAAGAAAAAAAGAAGAAAAACTGGATTTCTCCCCTAAAAGCCTGGGGAAGGGGAATGGAATCCAGAGTTTCTGTTGTTGGTGGAGTGATTATCTTTGGCTATATGGCCAAGCAAGACATGGCCCCTTCCCTTCTGCTGCATTGTTGGCCCAGGGAAGGGGTGTGTGTGTGAGTGTGTGTGTATGTGTGTGTGAGTGTGTGTGTGTGTATGAGTGTGTGTGTGTATGAGCGTGTGTGTGTGTGTGTGTGTGTGTGTGTGTGTGGTGAGCATGCAGGGGCAGCCAGCGCACAGCAGTGAGTTACAGAGATTGGCACGTGGAGGAAACAGTCTGAAAATCTTGCCTGGTGATCTGAAGTGTCCTGGGCGGGACTTTTCGATGGAAGGCCGATTGGAATAATGCGTTTCCTCCACCTCTCTTATAGGGGCACGTCTATGGAGCAGGGCCACCTCTCTGGAGGGGCTGGGGGACAGTCCAGAAAGACACCTTGTTCTCTGGCTAACTGGCACACACAGAAACGTCCCAAGAATAGGGGCTGACAGGCCACAGGACTGACTCGGGAGAGATTCTGACCAGGAACATCATTATCCCGTTTGAAACACCATATAATTTATTCAGACACCGTGGACTCCTTCTCTCCTTCGTAAAATGAGAGAAAGCTCAAGTTTTCAAAGAAGGAACGTGGCCATTTTATGTTTTCCCCCTGAAACTGACAGGACAGGGTAGGGCCCTCACTGCCAGGTCTAAGGAAATGACTGGCTTGCTGCCCATGGGGGAGAAGCTGGGGCGGAGTGCTGCTTCTTACATTTCCTTGTTCCTCTGGCAGTGCCTTCCCGGGAGAAGGGGCTGCACTGCATGAAGTTTGCCACTAGACTGCACTCTCATCTACGATAAGAACTCTTCCTGCAGGATTGCTTTTAAGAAAATATTTTTCTTGCTGGTTTGGGTCAGGAGCAAGTCTCTCTGTGCTGTTAACACTCCCAGATTCTGATCTCTCTTCTCACTATTCTTGCCTAAAGGCACAGCTTAAAAAATGAGGCTAACGTCTAAAGTCCTGCTTTTGCTTGTATTGCCAGAGGGGTCTTAGACGTGGGCTGGGAGAAGGAGGAGGTATATGTGTAATGATTAAAAAAGAAAAGAAAAAAAAGAAAACCAGGGAGGCTCCTCATCATTTCTTCTCCCCTCTGCCTGGGTGCTTGGTAAGTTAGGAGGGAAACATTTGGTTGAAATATTTGAAGAGTGAAGGTGGTCATGTGTTATTTTCTTTTTTTGTGTCAAGTTCGGGCTAGCAGAGCGGCCGAACAGTGCACTGTGTGTTCCACCCCCTGCCCCTGCTTCTGCACCCACTCGGCAGGCAGCAAGGCCGACCCCAGGCGCTGGTAGCCTTTAGGATGAATGGGGAAATTGTGGTGCTCCTTCCAGAGAAACACGAGTTGCCTGGTTCCAACCACCCTCTCTCTATTCAGAGAGAGACGGCCTTCAGTGACACAGCTTTTTGTCTAGCCGACTTCCAGTGGCTGGAAAATAAGATGTGTGAGGACAGGCGAAAGGAAGAGGGGGTGATTCATGGGGAAGACCACAAGGGTAGGGAGACAGAAGAGTTGTGGCAGGAGCTGGTCCTTGGGGTAGGGCGGCAGAGGGGGCCCTGGAGAGAGGGGACCCTGCAAACATGTGAATGGTAAGTGCCCACGCCAGCCGTGTCCGGACTCTGACATGGGCTTAGTCAGGAGGGGTGAGAGCCGATGGGACATGAGCTGCTGTGCAGGGGACCCTTGGGTAGTCTACCCTGCAGGTAGACCCTGGGAGGGCATGACAAAGACATCCTAGCAGCCTGGGATTGTCTGAAGTAATTTTGTCCAGAGGTAGGGATCCTGGTCAGAGGGGTTTGCTTTTACAAGTCCATAGTTAATGTGTGACAGTGGAACGGGAGGTTCTGTTACAGGACGTTGGGCTTGGGCAATGCCCACGACCCTTTCTTGATTTCATCCCCCCTGCCCTCCGTTCTGAAGACCTGGATCTGTTCAGTCACCTTCGGAAGACTGCTTCTGGGAAAAATAGTTTGCGTCGATGAACTCCACTGGAAGGGGCTCATTTGTTCCTGCCAGATGCACATGTCAGGGGCAAGGTTCACTGCCCCCTGCGTGGCCAGTTGCTTCTCAGCTCTCTGCTTCCCACTCTGGCATATTCGAGTTTTGATGCCTCTCGGCCACCTCTTCCTTGGAGAAGGAAGATGGAGAGGTGTTCCAGGCAGCGTTGTTGTAGTGACCAGGATGAAGGCTAGGTGGCAGAATGGATACATCATTGAATGATGCCTCCTCTCCAGAAGGCTCCAGGCTGAAGACTGGTGAAGTCTTTAAGGACCCTGTGGGACGTGGAAAGCAGAAGCTGAGATGGAGGGCCACACCTGCCCGGTGGGCCCACCGTGTGCTGCCCAGCCTCGCACAGCCCTTTGCCTCCAAGGCTCACCAGAGGCGTTATTCATGGTCACTTTACCTCGGAGTCCAGGTCCACCAGGTTCTGCTAGATCCGGATCTAGGGGGACAGAACAATTACTTTGGGTTCATCATAGAATGCCCTAAAGCTTCTCTCATAAATAATTAAGATATAGTCTTTGTCAAAGTGCATAAAAATGTCTTTTTTACATTTTAAAATGTAAATTATGGAATATTTCAAGCATTCAAAGAGCAGGAGATGACATAACAGATATCCTCTGCTCACCGCACACATTCAACACATGTTAACATTTCACCATTCTCGTTTGAGATTTTGTTCAAAAGAAATACAGTGGTATAGAGAACAGCCCACTTCCTGCTCTTGCTCCTGCTTTGCCACCTCCCGCTTCCCGCAGAGGTAGCCACATTCCTGAATTAGATTTGTATCTTTTTTTTTTTTTTGCACAATGTTTTTTCCAGGTTTTCCATGAAGTTTCCTATAGAACAGAGTGAGAACTGTTTTGAGGATGAAACTACATGCTACTTTAGAGTTAATTTTGTAGAGGTACTTGCTACAGGTGGCAATTTAATTAGAGTCTGCATTGACCCTCTGGCTGACTTTTGAAGGAGCTGGAGCCAAGTATGACTCAGAGTGATTTATATTTCTGTGAGCAATATATAAGTTAATCGTTTTAAGAATCGATGTTCAGGAGTCTTCTGGAGCCATTCCAGAGAGAGATGGCAGAAAAGGGAGACTCTCTACACAGTTTCTGGTTGGAGGCCTCTTGTCTTCTTGGACCACGGGATTCTGGGGTTTCCTCAGTGGACAATCCCAGAGCTGTATTTGAATTTTGGAAAAATGAGATGAACCAGTAAAAGTGACCTGTTGTGAGTTAGAAGAAGTTTTTGGTAGAACCAGATCTAGGGGGACAGAGATGGGCTAGGAAGGAAAGATGGAATCACATGGGATAGGAGAAAAGAGAAAGTGTTAGCTACCTGAAGCAAGTTTGACAGAATGCATCCAAGCCATGAAAAAGCCAAGCACAATCACAGTGCTTGGAATCTAGGTTTCATTACAGTTCAAGAGGGAGAAGAGATAAGAGCTAGATTACCACCCCTAGCCCATGGGCCCAAGTTGTGTGAATTAGGAAATGGGGCCTTCCCTCAAGATACTTTACTTCTATTTGTTAGAACACTGTTATAAAATACAGATTTTGTTAGAACAAGACACTCTACTAGCCCTTCCAGGAAATAGTCATCATGAA